CAAAGAAAAAAATTTATTTTAGAATTTACTACTAAGAAAAATTTTGCTTTCTTTGAGGAATAGGTACTTTTATTTCTCTTAGGAAAAAATCTGTAAATGACTATATCTTCTTTTCACTTTGATAGCCAGTAAGCTTAAAGCCAAATCTGAAGCTCTCAGGCCCTTATTGCCTGCATATTTGTGTTCCTTTTTCACCCAAGAATTGTCTTCTACTCTTATGTGTATTTTCTGATTTAACTCTTTCTTACTATTTATATTTTACAATTTTGGGGGTATTATTCTCCTTTAAAACTACTTCAACTCTTTGTGGAAAGAGGTACAGCATACTCAACCAAACAAAAATAAAGCATAAACACCATAGCCTCATAATGCATGAATCATGCACTGTAGGTGCATTCCCAGCATGCCACCGTAATTGCTCTTTTGGTGTAAAACTTAGTCAGATGGAGCAAGAAAACCAGATGGCACAGGAAAGCTCTCTCTGTGCAAGAAGAAGCAGATGAGGAGAGTGCAAAGACCTAAGGCCTTCCCTGAATTAGCAGAGCACAGTTAAGGCAACTGTGCCAGGAGCAGAAGAGCAAGCTGCTGGGAAGTTATGCACAGGCTTAAGGCTAAGGTTTTTATTTTTTTTATATATGAATGTTTTTCCCTAAAGTAATTCAGCCTTTTCATAACCTTCAGTCTCTCCATTGTTCTATTTTCCCAGCTCATAAGACCTCTTTGCTGCTTCATTTATCTGCCTCCTGAACTTGGATCTCACAATCAGCGTTTTCAACGATGACCTCTCTGACCGCGACAACGCTTACATGCATTTGATCCACCATTCTAATCTCCAACCTGGGGCATTTATTCATATCGTCTACTTTTCCTCCTCTTGGGTTGAAAAGCACTGCTGACTGTGAGTCTACCATAAACTCCCTCACTGCTAATTATTGATCCTTTTATTCATCCCTTGACTATCATATGAGCACTACCAACTGTTCTAAACCTTTCCCACACTGCAGTGTCTAATGTACTGCTCTTTCCCTGATGTCTCATCTGCTACATTACAGAATGAATTAAATCTATCCTATTTCAACAAACTCATCTTTCTTCTATTCCACCACAAAGTGCCTCTGTAGCCATATTCTTGGCACGATCTCTAATTCTCACTGTGACTGCACTGACGCACATCTTCTCAAAGGGGGAATTCCTCTTTTCTACACTAACCAATCCCTCTGTGCTCTTGATCCCATTGCCTTCAACTGTCTCTTCTTTCCTGCCTAGATTCTTTTCTGTTCTAGCTTCTTCAAACACCAAGACCACAAACAAAACCATGACACAATACTGAAGCCTATAGACCCTATCCCTCAATTCCTTCCTTCCACCTTGAAAACCTCAAAAGGTAGTTTTATAATACTTTTCTCCCTTTTCTCATCACCCACGGGTCCTTAACCTCTTGGAATCTGGTTGTAGCTCCCAGTTTAGTGAAAAGTACTTCCTTCAAAGTGATTGGTGATCTCTTAATGACCAAATACCCCCACTTCACTCCAAGCTCCTTTGATTAATTAGAACAGAAACCATCCTTATTTCTCAAGATACTCTTCTACTTCATCAATTCCTTTCTTCCACCTGCCTTTTAAATGAAGGCATAACCAAAACACTTCTTAGTCTTCTTCACTCTGAAATCTCATTATTAATTACAGCTTCACTCATCACTTCTATGCAGGTAATTCTCAAATCTATACCCCTATTGCTAAATCCTCCTTTTTTGAGAGAGGAAAGATTTATTGAGGTATAATTTACATACAATAAAATGCAACTTCTTAGGTGGTTACTTAGATGAGATCTGATAATTGTATACTCTGTACAACCACCATTCAAAACAAAAATAAACATTTCCATCATTCAAAATAGTCCCCTCTTGCCCCTTTCCGGTCAATTCTCCCCACTCCCTAGAGGCAACCACTTTCCAACTTTTATTACCAACTGTTTTAGAAGAACACAAAATGGAACCATATACAGTATGTACTCTTTTGTGTCTAGCTTATTTTGCCCAGCACAATGTCTATAAGATTTATCCATGTTGTAGTATGTATAAATGGTTCACTCCCTTTTTACTGTTGAGTCATCTTCCATTGTATTACAACCACAATTCGTTTTGGATATAGTCTCCTGTTGCTGGACATTTGTGTTGCCCCTGCTTTGGATGATTGTGAGGAAAGACTGCTATGAACGTTCTTGTACAAATAGTTTTATGGACATTTGTTTTCATTTTCTTGGGAAAATACCTAGGAATGAAATTGTTGTTTAATTGGGTAGATGTATGTTTAACTTTATAAGAAACTGCCAAACAGTTCTCCCAAGTGGTTGTACCATTTTACATTCCCACCAGCAATGTATGAGAGTTCTAGTTGCTTCACAGCTGCACTAACACTTTGCATTGTCAGTTTTTTCAATTTTAATCATTCTAGTTGATGTGAAATGTTATTTCACTGTGGTGTTTAATTTGCATTTCTCTGATGACTAATAATGTTGAGTAATTTTTCATGTGCTTATTGGCCATTTGTATATCTTTTTTGAAGTGTCTGGTTTCAGTCTTTTGCTCGTTATTAAATTGGGTTGTCTATCTTTTTATTGTTGAATTTAAGTTCTCTTTTGAATTGCGTTTGCTTCCATACCTTCAACTGTGAACTGCCCATATCAAACTAAATGTCCTGATATTACCTCCAAAGGCACACTTAAAATCTGTCAGTTTTTACTCTGAAAACAGACCTAGGTGTTATCATCAACCACATCACCAATATTCTTCAATCATGTTTGTTTTAAAGCCTGACTCTTGGTGTTCACTTCTTGAGAGTCATTAGGAAGTTTTGAGAGGTGACAGAGTATAATTATTAACAGCACAGGCTCTGGAACTACCTAGTTCAAATCCAGACTCTGTCACTTATTTGCTGTGTGACTTTGGACAAATTACTGAATCTTTCAGTGCCTATCTTATAAGGTTTTTGTGAGGTATAAATAAATAAATCGAGTACTTTAAATAGTACACAACAAAAAGAGAGTGCTCAATAAGCATCAGTAGTTGTTATTTTTACAATTGGAAATGCCTCTTTCTTAACATCTTTTTCATGATTCTGACAACTAACATCTTAATCCAGGCTCTCAGCCTCTTATGTCTAAACAATTAAAATGGTCTCCTAAATGGCCTCTTTCCTCCTCCTCTAATTCAGACTACACACCACTTCCAGATTTATCTTCCTAAAAAAATGTCCTCACACACATCATTGCCTTCTGGCTCACAAATGGCCACTGTAACAAATAATCTTAACCCCTTATCCTAACACTCAAGGTTTCCCATCACTGATCCTTACATAGCTCTCTAACATTTGCCTCTTACATATAGGGGTAGGGGAATAATTCAAAAGGGATTCAAAAAGATTGCGCCTAAAATACAAGAAAAATCCAGAAAGAGCAATACGAGCATGTGACTTAGGGAAATGGAGATAAGTCCAAACTAATCAGCTAAAAGAAATGAAAATGGTTGCCTTTGAGGAGGAAAGGGGTGGGGATGGCAGGAGGATGGGACACATTATTTTCTCTAACAAACCTTGCAGAATTATTTGACTCCTTAAACTAATAGTAGTACACATTTAATTTTTATATAATAAATACTTGTGAGATAGAAAGATACAGCCCAAGAGACACAAACAGGAAGGCAGGCAGGTTTATTAACTGAAGCAGATAGTATAATCTGCAATTTGGTTGTCCATACCTAAGGATAATAAATAGACCTATGCAAGGAATAGTTGAGCACATCCATTCACTTAGAGGAGCTACTCTATTGGCAGATTGAGGAATTTGGATTTTATCCAGTAAACAATAGGAAGGTGAGTGAAGGTTACTAAACACAGTTGTGATATAACACAAATAATATTTTAGGAAGATTAAACAGGAATTATATAGAAATGCACTTGACTGGAGAAGAAAGAGGGTATGGTAAAACATGAGGGATTCACTAATTGAGACATGAAGTGATGAAAGCCTAGATCAGGGTGATGACTGGGGAAACAGAAGGATTTAATTTCAAGTCGTTTTGCAAGAACACAGAGTATGATTTGCTAGCCAACTAAATACAAAACTAAGAGAATGGAAAAAAATAGAGAACACAACACCCTCCGGCACAGAGTAGGAATACTTGTAAAGCTAAATAAAGAGTGAGTCCAAAGTTATAAACCTGAAAGACAAATCTTAATATATAATTCAAAATATTGAGTTTACTACTCTTTATGTGGTTCTTTTCATCTAAATCTCCAATCAACTTAAAACATTTTTGGTTCAATTCACTTAAAATCTTACATAAGTCCCCTCTTACCTGCAGGGGATATACTCTAAGAAACCGTGGATAGTACCAAAACCTATATATAGTACACTATGTTTTCTCCTGTACATACATACATACCTATGATAAAGTTTAATTTGTAAATTAGGCACAGTAAGAGATTAACAATAACTTATAGTAAAATAGAAAAATTATAACAATATATTGTTATAAAAGTTATATGAATGTGGTGTCTTTTTCTTCCTCACAAAATATCTTGATATTTTCAGGCCATGGGTGACCTCAGATAACTGAAATTGCTAAAAATGAAACTGTAGATAAGGGGGACTAATGTACATAATTTTCACTACTTGATTAATGCTATTTGGACTCCATCTTCTCATTTCTGTTTTAATATCCTCATGAGCTCCATGTCAGAAACTGGCTGGCTACCACACTGTTTTTTGCCTGAATCTACCTGAATCTACAATATGTCTTCTCTTCCCTTCAACAATTTTTTACCCATTTAGACTTCTGTTTTCTGCCAGGATTCCTTTCCCTTCCACCTTCTTTGTTTGATTCCTTATCCTAACCCTTCTTGGTCACTAATCTCTTTCTTTTCTACCTCTACCTCAACATGATGTCCAACTCTTCCCACCCCCACTGACCACACTGAAAAATAAAGCAGAGTTGTTCTGAGTGAGAGCGTGTGTTATCTGAGTGTGTACATATCAAGACAGCTCTGAAGCATGGAGCAGTACAAAGAGAACCTTCCTTATAAGGAGAAATTAAGAGCAAGGGATATTTAAGGGCCAACGGTAATAAAGTACAGGAGCTACCCTGAAAATCAATTCTTTTACTGAAAACTGTTGGCATGCCATTACTTCATTTTCAAAATTACTTTTTTCTAATTAATGGTCATTATAGAAAACTCATAAAATAGAGATAAACAGTATGACTATGTTTATGACTTACGAATATAATTTTGGAAATAGTATAAAATGGAACAGTTAGGAGATGATCACATAATACAGACAAGGAAGAGTGAGGACCTTGACTTGAGGCAAAGAGTGGGTATGCAGAGATGACAACTTCTTTGAGAAATATTTAGGAAGCAGAATAGGCAGGATTTAAAACCTCATCTAAAGAGGGGGAAGGGAAAAGGAATCAATACTGACACCAACCTTCCCAGCTCAGATGACTCTGTAAATGATGAAGCCAAGTAAGGGAAAAGGGAGAAATAGTTTTTGTGAGAAAAGGCAATAAGTTCTGTTGGGCTACAAGCTGCATGACAAAGTCAAAGTAAATAAAAATAAATTGGCTTAAATGATCTCCAAATCCCCTTTACACTCAGATTCTTCCATTCTAAATTAGTGAAGACTATCCACAGATTTCATCATCTTTTTAAATTAAATTCTATCATTCATTATCTTCAATGTTCAAGAAATTAACTGTACCAAAAAGTGGAAAATAAGATGACTAGCATTTACTGTCCAACTATCAGATTCTATCAGATTTTTCTTTCCAGAACTTATATTGCACAGTTATCCTAGATATTTTACATTAAAAATAAACTTTATACATTCAAAATCCCCAAATTATGCTTCAATTTATGTAAACAATACTATCCAAAGCTGTTTCAAAGTTCTTAGCAAGAAATAGCAATCTAGACTATCCCATTTCCATACAAATGACACCTAACATGTAACAGTCATTTCTAGTTTACTCATAAAACTACAGCCCAAACCTTTACAAATATTCCATTGGATAGACTTAAAAATCCTTCTCTTGACCCAGTGTCCCTACCAACTACCTTCCATTTCTTTTCTCCCTTTTTGCAGCAGAACTCCTTGAAAGAATTATCTATTTTACTCTCTCCATTTTTCTTCTCTTCTTTGCTCCTTAAGCCCCCTTGATCTGGCTTTTGGCCAAGTCACTCTGCCAAAATTGCTCTTACCAACCACCAAATACAAAGGTCAATTGTCATTCTTCATCGTTCTTGATCTATCAGCATCATTTCTAATAGATATTCACTCTATCCTGAAAACACCTGGTTCTCTTGTTTTCCAGTACACCACACTCTCTTAGTTTTCTTCCTTCTATGTCTCCCTTGCTGGTCTCTCTCCTCTCTTCCCAAACTTTTAATGTTCCAGTGCCTCAGGGGTCGGACTTTGGTCTCTTCTATAATTATACTTACTACTTAGGTGGTCTCCACCTGTCAAGAAATCCTATTGATTCTACTTCCAAAACACATTCTGAGTATGACCACTTATGACTACCCGCGCTGCCACTGCCCCGGTGTGGGCCATCGTCATCTCTCACTTGCACTACCGCGGCAGCCTCCTACCTGGTCTCCTTGTTTCCACCCTTTCCCATTTTCAACACAGCAGCCAGAGTGATGCTTTTAAAATGTTAAATTAGATGTAGTCACTTCTCTGCTGAAACCCTGCTGAAAATGGCTCCCTGATAGTATTCAAGGTAAGAGCCAGTCCTTACAATAGCCTACAAAGCCCCCAAATCTGTCCCACTGCTGCCTCCCACCTACCTTTTGGACCTCATCTCCTACTCTTTTTCCTCCTTGCTTTTCCCTCTTGCTTGCTTCTCTTAAGCCATACTGGCCTCCCTGCTATCCCATGAACACACCAAGCACAGGGCCTTTGCATTTATTCTTCCCTCTCCCTGGATAACCCCCTTTCTCCCACATCTATATGACCATGCTTTCCAGTCTTTGCTCAAATGCCAGTGAGGCCTTCTTGATCATTGCAATATTGTTATCAACTCTCCCACCTCCTATCCCCCCTTCTTGCTTTATTATTTCTATAGTACTTATCACCATTTAATAAACTACATAATTCACTTATTTTGTTTGTCTCTCTCCCAAACTAGAATGTAAGTCCATGAGAGTAGGGATTTTTGCCTGTTTTCTTCATTATAGTTTTCTTACCACATAGAACAGTATGTTACACATGGTTGGTTTTCAATAAATGTTTTTTGAAAGACTGAGTGAATGAATGAATGAATAAGTGCATATAAGAAAGAATAGGAAAGAAAGAAAAAAAAAAGAAGAAGAGAAAAGAAAGGGAAAGAAAGGAAAGGAAGAAACTTGTCCAAAGTAAGGAATAATTAATATGGTATAGCCAGCATTGTAAACAAGATCTGCTTGGCTTCAAAGCCCGTATCATTCTATTACAGCATGAGTTAAGACGCTACTAGTTGAAACAAATACCTTAAGAATTAAAAGAAGTTCATTAAGCAGTAGCACAAAAAAATAAGTAAAAAAAGACTAGTATTTCAGTCTATCTTTCCTGAAATACAGTGAGCTCAGTCAGAACTATTTATTTAGAATTCAACTGCAAATAGTACATTTTTTCCAAAGCTATGGAAGTATATACACTCTCTTTAAAATACTTAAAGTTAACAATAATTTTGAGAGGATTGGAGAATTCTGCTTTTGGCTAAGATGGAGTAACAGGGACCCAATTTACCTTCCTGCCTGAAACAACCTCCTCACCCCAATTACAACAAAACATAAAATATCTGAGATAATGGTTTATAAGACACTGGATATCTGGCAAAGAAGCAGAGCAGTCCCTGAGAAACAAGCCAAAAATGAGGTGAGACCCATGAATGCCCCAACTTATGCCTTGAGAGAATTTCTAGGCCACAGCATAGGGAGGGGAAACCCAGGCAGGGCCCAGCAATGTCCTTGAGTTGAGGAGAGAGCTGAAAGTCTGGGGAGAACAAGATAGAGATCACAAGACAGGGTACCAGAGAAGAGAGAACTACAAACAGAACTCTAACAATCTGCAGAGGAAGAATGCTAAACATTCAGGAGAGTCTTGATTGGCACATGTGAGAGAAAACTACCTGAGGCCAGAGAAAGAACCATCTGAGAGACAGAGAACAAACAATGCCTGGTGCTTACATAGAGCCAGGAATAGTGCCTGTTCCTACCGGTCAGGCTAGAAAATCCTCAATTCATGGGGCATTGGGCAGAGTACTCAGAAGTGGTAAATAATTAGACCCAGACTAAGCAATGCTCTAATCATAAAGGCAAGACCCAAATGGATCAAATTGTTTCCAAGTAACTTAACTGCATCCCAGAACAAATTTCAAGACAACTTAAAGTAACACAAAATATGTGGTGCTCAAGGTAAAAGTGGCAATGTTTGGCATCCAATCAAACACTACCAGGCATGTAAAGAAGCATGAAAATATGACTAAAACTGAGGAGAAACACCAACCAATCAAAACTGACCCAGAACTGACAGAGACACCAGAATTAACAAACATTGACATTAAAAGTTATTATAACTGTATTCCAGATGTTCAAAAAGCTAAGTAAAAACATGGAAGGTATAAAAAAGGTCCTAGTCAAGTTTATAGAGAAGAAAACTACAATGGCTAAGATGAAAAATACACTGAATGGGATTAATGGCAAATTAGACATCACAGAAGAAAAGATAGTGAATTTGAAGACAGAGAAATAGCCATTAACCAAAATGAAACACAGAGAGAAAAAGGAATTTTTAAAAACAAAAGAAGGGGGTTGGGGGGGGGCGGTGGCTCACATCTGTAATCCTAGCACTCTGGGAGGCTGAGGCAGGTGGATTGTTTGAGCTCAGGAGTTCGAGAGCAGCCTGAGCAAGAGTGAGACCCTGTCTCTACTAAAATTAGAAAGAAATTAATCGGACAACTAAAAATATACAGAAAAAACTAGCCGGGCATGGTGGCGCATGCCTGTAGTCCCAGCTACCTGGGAGGCTAAGGTAGAAGGATCGCTTAAGCCCAGGAGTTTGAGGTTGCTGTGAACTAGGCTGACACCACGGCACTCTAGCCCAGGCAAAAGAGTGAGATTCTGTCTCAAAAAAAAAACAAAACAAAACAGATGCCTGTAATCCTAGCACTTTGGGAGGCCGAGGTGGGTGGATTGTTTGAGCTCAGGAGTTTGAGACCAGCCTGAGCAAGAGCGAGATCCCATCTCTAGTAAAAATAGAAAGAAATTAATTGGACAACTAAAAATATATAGAAAAAATTAGCCGGGCATGGTGGTGCATGCCTGTAGTCCCAGCTACTTGGGAGGCTGAGGCAGGAGGATCGCTTGAGCCCAGGAGTCTGAGGTTGCTGTGAGCTAGGCTGACGCCATGACACTCTAGCCCGGGCAACACAGTGAGACTCTGTCTCAAAAAAACAAAAACAAAACACATGGCTTATGCTTAAAATGGGTACGACTTATTTTACAAAAATTATCTTAAAGTTGATTTTTTAAAAAATGGCTCATTTATTTTATCTGATAAAACAAACTAAAAAAAAAAAAGATTTGTCTCTAGGTATTACAAAGTATGCTATTGAGTAATAGATCACTTCAGCTTTTGTATGTCATAAAACAGTGGTCCCCAACTCTTTTGGCACCAGGGACTGGTTTCACGGAAGACAATTATTCCATGGACCAGCACGTCAGTTCATCAGGCATTAGATAAATTCTCATAAGGAGCGAAACCTAGATCCCTCGCATGCGCAGTTTACAGTAGGGTTTGAGCTCTATGAAAATCTAAAGCCATAGCTGATCTGACAGGAGGCGGAGCTCAGGTGGTAATGGAGCAGCTATAAATACAAGTGAAGCTCCATCCCTTCCACCCCCCCTCAACCTCCTGCTGTGTGGCCTGGTACTGGTCCCAGGGGTTGGGGACTGCAGTCATAAAACATAAACAGTATGTTTTTTAAATAAGCAAAACTGCCATATCCTCATTAATGGTACTACCACCAAAATGCAGCATGTTTAAGCAAACGTAAATGTACAATTGCAAACTTTTAAAATAAATAACTTGCAGTCTGAGAGACAACTTAAAATTAAGCTACTAGTTTCTGATTTCAAAATTTTTAATTTAAAGATAATACAGAAAAATGGATATACTCAGCTTAATAAAAGCATATATTTATCTTTCTTTTACAGATTAGAAAAACATGAAAGGCAAAATCATGATGCAAAACAGCGTACTGAATATGAAATGCATGCAGGAGGTGTAAGACTAAATCATACCTGATAAAGTTTGATTATATGAGGGTGGTCTAACATTTTCATTATTTGTACTTCTCGGTAGATTTTCTCAAGGTTCACTGCATCCAGCTGAGATTTATCTATTATTTTTATCGCCACCTGCATCCCAGAACACAAATAAATA